ATCCCTTTTTCAAATAATAAAACTATTTCATATAAATAATGTTATTTTATTTTTTTACCACATAGAGCCATTGTAAGTTCTTCTTAACTAAACTTAATATATAGTTTATAGGAAACAAAGGTGTGTTATGTCCATAATTTCATTGTTTTTTTTTTAATAACTTTGCATAGAATAATCTTTTTTTCAACATATATATATATATATATATATATATATATATATATATATATATATATAATCAATCTTATCTAAGTATTGGTACTAATATTGTATTTGAAAACTATATGCTTTAGTCCTGAGTTCATTTGATTATTTATTATTTTCAAACAATCATTAGTTGTTTAGAACTATTTGCACCTTTAGTTTACACCTTTGTCCACTTAACCATTCAATTCTGTTTTTGGTCGAGGAAAACTAATATTATTTTTATTTAATATTGTTTACTTACATGAATGTTTAAATTATTTTCAATCTCCATAAGTGATTCTTCATGTAAACTGATGGAGGAAGATATTGGAATATAGGCTTTTGTTTCGTAAAAAAAGTTAATTATCTTTAAAACATTAATTAATACAAAATAGGTGTAGGAAGGTGCTTTTTAGAAATATATTCAATACAAAATTTTGTCTTTAATATAAACAACCTAAAACTGATGTGTGTAACAAATGTTATTCTAGTACACACACTGAAATGCATATTGATAACTACAAAAGAGCATTTGCGTTGCAAAAACAAGAAAGAGACATGTGTATTAAGTAGTGGAAAAAATAAAAAATAAATTAGTTTTGACATACAACAAACTCAGCCTTTACCTAAAATTCCCATATCAAAAGCATTTTATTTAAGACAAATATAGTTTTATAATAAAGGTATCCATATTATTAGTAGAGATGGCCACATGTCTTATTTTTACACTTACACAGAACACTGTGGTAAAAAAGGTAGTGTAGAAGTTCTTATTCACACATTTTTAGACTATGACAGAGATTTTGGCCGCATAGAAAAACTCTTAAGAAGAAAAGAAAAATAGTAATTAATAAATAGTATGTAAGAACATGCATGTAGCAAACCTATTTTTAAATAATAGTACTATTTCATATAAATAATGTTATTTTTATTTTTTTACCACATAGAGCCATTGTAAGTTCTTCTTAACTAATTAATACGGTTTGTAGGAAACAAAGGTGTATTATATACATACTTTCATTGTTTTTTTAAATAAATTTGCATAGAATAACCTATTTTTCAATATAATATATAAAATAATCAATCTTATCTAAGTATTGCAACTAATATTGTATTTTAAAACTATATGCATCAGTTCCTAAGTTCATTTGATTATTTATTATTTTAAAACACTCATTAGTTGTTTATAACTATTTGCTAGTTTACACTTTTGTCCACTTAACCCTTCAATTTTGTATTGGGTCGAGAAAAATAATATTATTTTTATTTAATATTGTTTACCTACTAACATGAATGCATAAATTATTATCAATTTCCATAAGCGATTCTTCATGTAAATTGATGGAGGAAGATGTTGGAATACAGGCTTTTGTTTCCTAAAAGTTAATTATCTTTAAAACATTAATTAATACAAAATAGGTGTAGAAAGATGCTTTTTACAGAAAATTGAATTTAAAGTTCTTGGTATTTTAAACTCTGAACGAGATTCAAGTTTTAATATTGATTTTTAAAACTTGAATCGCGTTCAGAGTCTAAAAGAAGCCTGTCTCAGTCATTTATTGCTATTAAAATGCACAAAATAGTGCTTGCAACTAACAAGATAATTGTACTAAATAGTACTAATATGTCATTAACTGAATATTTACCAGAATTGGTACAGCATAAGGTAATAGCAGAGTAAGTTTCTTCTTTTATTTATATTAACATTTTATCCTTAAAATGTCTGCTGCAAATTTTTGATGACGGTTTTGGTGTCCAGTCTGTTCGTCCTGTAGCTTCAATCCAATTCTGATGTAAATTATCATGTTCAGGAGAACTGCAACAAACCATTAAATCTTTCAGATATTTAATTAATAGACACTGCAGAATACATATCTGTACACCAGAGGCAAATGATCGTAAGTCACATTAAGCTAATTGTACAGTGCACACATTTTACAATCAGATCTCAATTTGAACATAGCTCACATATGTCACTTTCCTACACAATTGTGTAAAGTTCTAAATAAAAATTTAATTGTTGCTTAAAAGTAGGTTAATTGGTAGTTTTTAATTACAAGATATTAACAAAAATGTAATTACTTAATTAAATAAATAATAGACTTGGGACATGCTACCTCTAAACACTAAAGATTATTTTTTATAAGTAACATGTAATAAAAGAATATCCTAAGTCCTGATTCTCAAGGCACAATAAAAATCATACATACATACATACATAAACACTCACGCCTGTCACCCAGAGGGGTAGGCAGAGACTACAGACTTCCATTTGGCACGATCCTGACACACCTCTCTCGTCTCCTTCACATCCATACACCTACGCATACATGCTCGTCGGTTAAGGGTACTCCTAATTTGGCCCGTTTTCAATAAATCGCCAATTTGGTCGATAAATTTTCGCCTAGGACGTCCCTTTCCGACTCTGCCATTCACTTCTGCAACATAAATTTTCTTTGTCACTCTTTCCTCATTCATTCTTTCTACATGACCAAACCACCGAAGCATTCCTTTCTTAATCCTGGTCACAACATCATCTTGCAAACCACACTCTTCTCTTATTACGCACTTTCTTACCCTGTAGTTCAGATTCAGCCCTAACATACTCCTTAAGGACCGCATTTCTACTGCGTTAATTCTACTCTCGTGCTTCTTCTGCCACACCCAACTTTCACTACCATACGTTAAAGTAGGGACCAACACAGCACTGTGAATTGCCATACGTGCCTTTTTTGACACATTTTGACTCTTCACAATAGAGTGCAGGGCCCCATTTACTCTAGAAATAAAAATCATGTTTCATTTAATCATGTAACTGACTTTGAAATTTGAAATGGTTCCTTATCAATATTTACTTTTCTATTAATAAAGGGATCATTAGTAAATAATAAATCTTGAAAATTTTAAAATCTTCAAGTTCCATGTTGTTGACTGTATATTTGTAAGAACATAGCTGAATAAATTGTTGTCAGTCCCAAGGTGTTAATATTATAAGTAGGGTCCAGATTAATATGTAAATCCATATTTTTACTTAAAATGGTTTTTGTTCTTAAATATATTTTCTACATAAATTGTGATATTTTGATCAAGGAAATGCAATTTCCATTTTCCATATTTTTCCATATTTCAAATATAAATGCATATTCCACAAGACATGAAATAAATTTATCCATATCTTCATAATTATATGTTAGATGGATCAGCAGCTCTGTGAAGTGCCTAAAAATTAGTTTTAGTTAAAAATGACCAAGTTTTCTTGCTACTTAGCGATGCTGCTCCTTATATAGTAAAAGCTGCAGGTGCGCTACAAGTTTTGTATCCAAAAATTATTCATGTGAAGTGCTTGGCTCATGGTATAAAAAGATTAGGTGAATGCTTAAAGTCTCAGTTTAAAAAGGTTGACAGTTTAGTATTAAACATTAAAAGTAAGAATTTTTTTTTTTGAAAGCACTGGGATCTCAAAATTTAAGGAGATGTATCCCGAAATTTCTTTACCACCAGAGCCATTGCTGAACCGCTGGGGAACTAGGCTGACAGCAATTGAATACTATGCCCAGTATTACACTTGAAATCAAAACTATTAGTTTTTAATTGGAAAATGAAGCTGCTGATATTTCAATCTCAAAAGAACTTTTCCAAGATGACACTATGTAACGATTTGCTTTACATAAAAAGCAATTATTACTTTTTATCACACCAGATAAAGAAAGGCACTCGAAAATTCTTCCACTTCTTTAAATGATAATTTGAAGATTATCGAAAATATTGAAAGTAAGTTTTGGAATCAGAAGGTCCCGTTGCTGAAGTAGCGAGGCAAAAATTAATCTACGTGCTGGAATAAAACAAAGGATTCCATACCCTAAATAAAATTGACAGCATGCTGTGTCGAACATTAGAAGGCACCATAAATGAGCCATACGCACTTGCAGAATTATGCAAATTTAAATATGCTCCAATCACATCCTGTGATGTTGAAAAATCATTCAGCCAGTACAAAGCATTATTTCGTCCATACGGAAAGGATTTTAATTTTGAAAATTTAAGGAAACACGTAGTTATATACTGTAATTCAAATAATAATGAAACAGAAGCTAAGTAAAATTGTTTTTTTTTTTTTTGTTTTTCTTAATAGAGAATCGTTTTAATGTAAAATGTCGTTATCTTTTATTACACATATTTTTCCCATATTTTACGATTATAAGTCCATGTTATATCCTCCTCGCTCCTCGATCCTGACGCCCCGTAACCCCGTATAGGGCATAGCATAGATTACTCACGGGCATAGGCACAGAGTACCTTTGTATAAACTGAAAGGCATAGGGGACAATTTTCAGTTTATACAAAGGTACTCTGTGGGGGACAATCAAATAGTATAGTATATACGGAAGGGGACAATTTTGTCAGTGCATCCCGCTGTCGGCTGTTATTGTAAACGTTATAATAATTGATTTAAAAGCTTATATATAGATGGCACTTTTCTACAAAATTTACTTTAGGCCCACTATAAGCAGGAAAGTTGTTATTTCGGCAGTTTGAAATCGCGTGTTAGCAGACTACCAAAGAAATGACTACCCGTGGTAAGTTTTAAACTGTTTTTTATTGGAATAGCGCACGTTTCTTTTGAAATTGCTTTGTATTGTGATAATGAGGTAACTTGACATATTTTAAAAAAAAAATTTTTCGCATTTCGATAAATGATATGACTGTACTGATTGCTCGCTTGTGGTTGTCCCATATAGGGGACTTTCGGTTTTGGCCTTTACATATGTATTTAATAAATACATTGTAGTTAAAAGTTTCTTATTATTTTCTAGGCTTATCTTCAGAACAGATACAGTCGGCTTTAGAGCTGAGAGATGGTAACTCAATCATTGAAGGTATTTCCGATGAGGATGACTCGTTCTCACTTACTGCACACGCAGAAACTCTCCAAGAAGGTGGAGAAAGCTGGTAAAAGAGTGGTATACCCTTAGATTTTTTCTTGAAAAACAAAAAAAAAACAAAAAAAAAAACCCAAAAAAAAAAAAAAAAAAAAAAAACCAAGAAAAACAAAATAAATAGGCCTTATACTATTCAGCAATATAACGAAAATATGGGGGGAGTGGACATGCTGGATAGGGTTATTAGCTTTTATAGAATAAGCGCACGTTCAAAAAATGCACGGTTCGATTGATATTCCTTTTATTCGACTTTGTGGCAGCTGCAGGATGGTTGGTGTACCGGAAAGAAGCCGAAATATTGGATACTCCTAAAAAGGACACTCTGGATTACTTGGAGTTCAAAGCCGAAATAGCAAATTCTTTGCTCTATTTCACTCCAGCAAGAGAGCAAATACACCTGTACGAGGAAGTTGATGATGTGCCAGCAGAAGCTAGTCAAACTAGCCGCAAGAGGAAATATGTCCCTCAACCCCCATTGCAGCTGAGAACAGCCATGTCAGGTCATTTACCAATGATTGATAACGAGTCAGGTGATCACAGATGCCGCTTTCCAGGTTTCAAGAGCAATAAACCAAGGGTATACTGCTCAACTTGCGGCATGCACCTAAGTTTAGTCGCAGGGCGGAATTGTTACAAAGAATATCACGAACAAAATTAATCTTTATTTGAATAAATACTTCTTTCTTTTACTGAACTTAAAGGTTTTATTTATATCTTTTTCATAACACTCAAATCGAAAGTCCCCTCTAGGGGACACGTAATAAAACAAATATATAAATAGAAAAAAATACAAAGTCTATTTTTGTTGCTTTAAAATGTATTTCTAAGTATGCCTATCAAAAATTGTATCAATATCTATCAAAACAACACATCAGGACTGAGGAGGATATGTACATATTTTTATATTTTCTATTCATATTAATCCGGGCCCTAATTATAAGTGTAGGTAAGTTTTTATGTTTTTTCTCAATATTATCTCTAAATATGTGTGTCCTTTTATTAAAACTTTTAGTTCTATAACTTTGAACTGAGGAAACTTTTTAAGAAGGAAAAACATGCACATGACAACATAAATATTCTTATTTTGCCCTTAACAGTTATCTCACCATATGGTCATTTGTTCAATATCTGATCCTGGTACGTTTTTAGATGCCCAATTTAAGATGCTTGAAGCTATTTCGTTTCCACCCCTTTGAGCTTTAGTTTCATCCCACATAAATAAAAATGCAGAACTGTCAAAACCATTATAAATAGTGTATTTAATGTTCAAAGTTTTTTCCTATAAAAATTAACTCCACTTGTCCAAAAAGGAGTTGTAAACATTTTTGTAGGTCTGCATTTTAGGTCTGTATTTTGATTCAGACATATCCTGGGATTTATGTTTGTACCTATTATCAGCTTCAATTAAAAGTAAATCTTTTCCTATTTACAGAAGTTGTTTCTCAGGGCCATTCTACACCCTTTTAAGTTTTGCTGAAAACATCGCAATCGTCACAAGTAAGTACAGTAGGGCCTCGGTAATCCGGACTCCCGCTTATTCGGAAGAACGAAAGACAAATCGTGGATTATAGAAATGTTAGGTAAAGGTGACAGCTACCCTGTCATTGCTCGGAAGTTTGGTATGGGCAGGTCAACTGTAGGCGACATAAAAAAAACAAAGACAAAATCTTGAAGTTTGTTAGCCTAGCAGAATATGGTCCTGGTGAATTCAAGAAGAATTTATTAATGTTTTATTTTAACTTACTGTTTTCATACACGGTCGTAATTTTAAACATGTACATTTTTGTCTTTATGCTTTAATTTGAAAATTGGTTAAAGAAACTAAGGTTAAACATGTGTTTTATTACTACTAATCCGGAAAGGGCATTGTTTTTGCCTCTCCGGATTAACAAGGCCCTACTGTAGTTTGTAAAGATCATATATTTGGTCGATATTTAAATTCTCTAAATGTCCTAAATAACATCTCTCTGATCTCTCACGATTGTAGTGACATTCATACTTTGGGAGAGATGAAATGTGGGACATAACAGATTTAATAATTTCATGATCTGTTTAGTTCGATGGTTCATGTTTTCCCCTTTTGTCACTTTCAACATTACACCCCACTTATCTCAGTTTTAAGCAGTCTTAACCACTTGTTGGGAAATTTAGAAACATTGTCTTACAGATTGCTGTTGTTATACCATTGACAACAAAAGAATACACTAAAGTATTTGATCCTAACTTAAATTCATCTCCTGATCTGTCTTTGTCTTGTTGTAGGTTTTGACTGGACACATGATACTATGAGTTGCCTTTTAACATTGTAGTATTTTTCTGTATCCCAATAAAAAGTAAATATCTCTTTCTTATTCTGCTCGGATATTTTAGTACTGCTTTTCATGTGGCAATTTGTGCTACATGCAGGTTCATTCTTTTGCAAGGTACTGTTTTACCACTTTTGCAGAAGGAAGCTTAAGATCATTTCTTATTCGCTTTTTTCCTGTCTGCTCTATTGTACTTTTATTCCGAACTTTTCTTTTTTTGGTAGATTATTATGAATTTGTTGTAAATTATTCTGGCATATAGAATTTGGTACATCATGAGATGTGCTTGGAACACCCTCTTCAATCGCAGCTAAATGCACAATTTACATAATACAATACATAAATATAAATAATAAAGTGCAATTTATGTTCAAAAACAAACTTCTCATTTTATTTGGACTTAGGAATCTTAGGATGCTTTCATTTTTGATAATTGAGCGGCACAAAAACATAAGTCCAGAAAAGATTGTATACCTTTGAATTAATCTGGACTTAAAACATGTTACCGAGTTCGAAAGTTTGTAGTTTATTTAGTTGGACTTAAAATATTATACCACCAAGTAGATTGTTACTTGTTTGTCGAAAAAAATGGACTTAGGATAATATACCTCCGGTATGCAGATATTATCATTTCCTATAATAGTGGGTAATAGCTTATAGAAAAGTTGGCCACACCGAAGATTTTAGGTTAAAATTTGCAATTGTTATTTTTGTACTTTTTTAACGATAAATTTACGTCTAGAATACATTATACACAATATATGCATTTCATGAAATGTTACAGAATGCCTAGTAACGTAACCGATTGAGTGGTATACTTACGAATGAAAAGACAACGCTCGCTACACATTAGCTGTCAAACTTTGTTTATCAAAATGGTTTGATAAATATTGAAAAAAGCCACACGAAACAAAAAATCTCATCGATCTTTCTCATTTCTTTACACGACATCGGCGTAAGTTGCTCTTTAATTTATAATGTCTCCAAAGTGTTTTGATATTTTTGGTCACTGTATTAGGGAAATTTTATTTGTACATTGGTATATATAAAAAAATGACAATAACAGTTTTCTTCACGAGTGTTCATGCGCTAAACTTCGCAGAGCCTATATTCAGACTCGCCAAGATACGTCGGCCGTATTGTAAGTTGCTCTTTCTCTTGTGTGACTGCGACAAAAGATATCACTTTGTGTATAGCATTCTCTGTCTACGGTTGGAGTGTTACCTCTATACTCCATGATTCGTTCATTTCATTCTAATTCTATCTAGTATCTATTCTATTTCCATCGGACCATCGTTGCGCGAGCGGAGGCAACGAAAAGAAACTTTGCTGCTAGTTTTTTTTAATTAAATAGTAAGTAATTATACAGTTTTAAAGTTATTTGCTAATATTTCATTTCAGTAACAATTTTTATTCAATTTATTAAATTATCATTTCAAATACTTAGTATAATGTCGTTCAAGTATGAAATAAAATAGAAGTAACTGAAAATGAAATATGTATAAGTATGTTATTCATGTAAAAAAAATTTCATATACAACCTCCAATGTGTGAAATTTATTTTTATGTTATAATTTAGATATATCCCGGCGACGTAATTTTAACAAAAATGGCGTTGATAAAAGTACCGTAACAAAGATGTTTTATGGTACCTATAAAACATCTTTGTATAGGTATAAAACATCTTTGTACCGTAATAAATTATATGTAAGATGTAAGTAGCTATCATTGAATTTTATTTAGTAGAGGATTTAGTAGTGATTAGGTGAAATTATTATATTTTAACAATAATAATTAGAATGGTACATAAGTATAACGAAGCCTAGTTAGGGAAGCTAATAAAAAATCGAGGTACTGAAATATAAAACTAATACTAAATCTAAAATCCATATTTAAAGTCACGTTATAAGTCGTTCTGATGTTCCGAGTAGTTATCCTATGTGACAAAGTCGCGATAATGTTTCACTGTGACTTTTTTTGTAAACAGAACGACCGTCACGGTTATTTAAAAATTATTCCTAATCCCTCGTCCATATAAAATAATGTTAAAACCTACAACACATTTGTATATAATAATACTTACTACGGACATACGTAGTATTATTTTTGTCAACTGGATCTTAAATTATTCTTGGTACCTAGTCAAAATTTCACGACGTGCGGATGATGTCATGTACATTCGCCTATTGCCCTGTCGAAACAAAATATTTCGATTACGCAAATATTACCTAGATAAATGTTATCATGTAGTCGTGATAAGCAGCAGTTTTGCGAGCTATATATTCGTTAGATGTTCAAGATAAAATTCAGTTCTGTATTTAATTTTTCCACATAACATTTAATACTAATATTCTGGTAAGTAATGATTTGCGAATTAATAGCAAGGGTTGCCTATTATTTGAAATCTATTACTTGTGAAAATACTGCGGATAGTATAAACATAAGAAAACATATAGTACGTTTCGATTTAATACGAATAATGTAAGTAGGTAATATGTCTGCTGCTTTAAGCCTTTACTAAAATATCTAGTAGGTATATCATTTAAATAAAACTAGTTTTACAGATTTTATCGCGTTTAGTATCTTTTTTATATTGCCGATGATAAAAATTAATTATTTTAATCTGTGGGTAACCGCGGTTAACTATGACATCGGGACGTCGAACACCTCAGTTTTTGATAATATAGCTGTCCAAAGACCTCAGTCCCCCCCGTGAACATGGGTGCTGTAAAGTGCTCGAAACGTCGGGAATATAAAAAAGGTAATACACGCGATAAAATCCGTAAAAACTACAGTACACTGTAGTTTTATATAAATATCTAGTATTTTCGTTTTCCATATACATTTTTAGAAAAATAGTATTCGGTTCCGTAATATTGCTGGAGTCTTTGGCAGAAATTAAGAATAATATGTAAAATTAAGACAAAATTATGACTTTTGATTTATTGAGCTCGCACGATCGGTTGTTATGATCTAATTTTACCGGTGGAGTTTAAAGCATCAGCTCTTGCCTCAGGAATGAAACATTTCGACATTTATTTTACTTGGTAGAACCATGTCTTCCGTGCCAATCTCTCCCCTCCCCGATCAGGGTTCCCGTTTTTCTTGGTGATGGCGGGAGTGCTTATGCCACGCCCCATGCTCATTGACCAGATGCGCGGCCGGGAAGGCTCCGAGGAGCAAACATACCAGTGTATAATAGCAAATATTGCTGTTTTATACGGTGAGCGTAGAGAACCGGATACCCTTATTACTGGAAATAGGGCATTCCATTTTATTCAGTAAGGATAACAATGAATCTGCATTTTGACAACAACCACTACCCACCAAAATAAAAAAGAGACATCAAAATCAATTCAGTTTCTTGACGCTTATTCCCACAAGGTCTCCCGCATCATGGACTTGTTTAAGCCTTCACGTAGCATTCTTGACTCAGAAAAGAGCTATATTAAAGCCAATTTTAAATATAAATATTTGAAATTAATTTGATATTCAGTGATGTAGAAAGGAGGAGGGGAGGGGAGGGGAGGTGAAGTGAGGTCCTTAATATAAAAAGAAATATTTACAACAGCAGCTATGACGATCGACTACTACCACACGATGGGGTCGCCACCGTGCTGTTACATGGAGATGTTGTTCGTAGCGCTGGGCATCGAATCCAAAATCAAGTACCACTATGTCGACGTTCTAGCTAATGATCATCTCAAACCGGAATATTCAAAGGTATTTTCAAATTTTAACTTAATTTCATCAATTTGTTAGCTTTTATTCAATAAAACCACATTTTATTTAGTTAATTGTTTAATTTGCACTCTTATTTTCTATATATGACAATCTTTAACACACTATATTTATTTTACTTTAATAAGGGAATCTGTTAAATAACGTTTTTACACGATAGACTTAACTTCACTATTATAACCTCCTCAGTACCACTGTACGTATTGAACTGCCTGGCCATGTTTTTTTTTTGCGCCCGAAGCAAATATGGGCAACCCTCCGGAAAGCGGGGGAGGGAGGTTGGGAATGCTCATAGCATACCACGCAGCCGGCTGCGTGGTTATGTGGTGACTTTTACCCACTAAACCCAACCTTTTAGGAACTGGCTTAACGATCTGACTAGAGATCTCTAAGCCGTATACGAACGCGACCCTCCTTGGCAGAAAGGAGGGGTCCTGGCCATGTCAAGTGTACGTGCTTTTATGGCGGCTATACACTCTCGACGAGGGCCCACGACGCAAGACGAGGACGAGTGTGTACAGGATACTTTCGCTGAGCCTCACCTTCCCTCGCCTCGCCTCGCGTGCTCTCGCGCTCGTGTCGGTTTTTGGTGCGCGAGACAAAGGGCCTCGCCTTCCCTCGCGAGTGGACACGAGTGCGTCACTGTACACTCGCGCTTCGTTGTTGTGTTTTCAAATAACACAATAATATAGAAAAATAATAATTATTGTAATAACCAATTATACAAACTCATTCTCTGAGTACTGAAAGTAATTCTTTTTTATAAATACCCACCTTGTGAGCAAAAATGTCAATATTATTGAAAGTATTATTATAACAATTTAACAACATATATATAGGGGATCTTTTACCTACGTTGGTTCGACATTTATTAGTAAAAAATGTATATTTGGCACGAACTCTGCGACACATTGGCCTATATGGTACTCTGTATTGTATCATCTTAACTAGTTCTATACTATCGTACCTGTTATGACAAATATCATACAGTAACATAGCTTGAATCTGTTGACGTCTGGATTCTAATTTTAGTAAGTTATATTCGACCATCAGTTGATAGTAGGCTAATTTAACTCGTCTGCACTGCAGAGGTGCAAATAAGTTAGAGGTTTTTAAATTCACGTCCAATACGCGATTCGCGACCGCCACCACACCACCGCGACTACGCGACTTCGACTCCATACATTTTAAGAGCCTTATTAATGACATTTTCAACATGTGTATCAAAGATAAGTTTACTATCTAATATTATTCCTATTCCCACGTTGTCGCGTGCAGTATATTTGGTTATAATACTACATCTGACTGCCTCGTTGGTCTAGTGGTTGTAGTAGTGTGACTGCTTATCATGAGGTCCTGGGTTCGAATTCCGGGTCGGGCCAAAAAATGAATTATTTTTTCCATCAAGAAATTTTCAGTAGTTGCCCGGAGTCAGGAAGTTGGCGATGTCTCACCACCGTGCCTCGGAAAGCACGTAAAGCCGTTGGTCCTGCGCCTAATCTCTTTCCGGTCGTGCCGGTTTACCGTCCCATCGGATTATGAGAGTGAGGGAATAGAGAGTGCGCCTATGCTTGTGCATACACTTGGGCACTATAATCCTGTCCTGCGCCGATGGCTAGCCTACGTTGAGGCAGGCCGCCGTGACCGAAATTCGGTCTGGAGGACATTATTATTATCCTACTACCGCAAACTTATCATGTGGAACCAAGAGAGCAAACTCAATTTTCTTGAATTTATCAAAGTGAACCTGAGTTTTGTGAGCCCACGCATCGTTACCACAAAGACAAAAATCCATCCGTCCGAAATCATGCGTCCATCTCCTCGCCGTCCCTCACCATAATTGAATAAACGAGAATGTACAAGGTCATGTAAGCTATTTCTCGTGCGAGAGGCTCGCGAGAGGCATGGCGGCGAGTGCTCTCGTCGGGAGTGTACAGCCGCCATTATATCATGACTCGATTTTAGAATTAATGCAGGTAGCTTGAAATAAATTCATATTGGTATTAAATGTGAAGATTGATATGTAATATTGCATAATGATCATTTATCTGACACATTTCATTGCAACCTACTAAAGTTTACTGCTACATGAATAAAGGCCTCTCTCATATATTCCCTCGTTGGGGATTTCGCCATAGTTGCCACGCGTGGCAGGCGAGTTGGCAATCGCAGTATTTTTTAAATTCTAGGTTGTTCTATAATTTTAGACGCCGCTGCCCATGTGCTGTTTCAGTTTTCCTCTATCGCCTCTTACGACACCAACGAAACGATTTGGGGTGGTGGATATTCTCACATCGCCACTACAAGATTAACAATTTTTTTTATAGAATAGGGGTGACCAACGGGCACACAGTTCGGCTGATGGTAAGTGGATGCTGTAGCCCATAGATATCCACATTTATCTTCAATTAAAAATCAAAATGCAGATGCGTTGCCAGCCCTGAGGACTTAGATGGAATGCCACGTTTCCAATAAAAAGGATCTCAACAAACTCAATTTAAAAATGTAAATTTTCTAAATCTCTTTTTTTTTTGGTTACGCTTTTAAAACTGGGTGTTACAATTGTGACTATGGAATACGCCAGAAAGTTCTTATGGCTTCCAACAGATAGCGGCACAACCATTTGTTATATACCAGACGTAAAATTCCTAAACTTGTAGTAAAGAAAGATGCGAGCTATCTGCTACTGCATCGTTGATCCGCCTGCCAAGAGGACGAGACGATAGTGGTAAACCTGGGACGACAACAAGAGAGACCTCTGTCCCGCAGAATCCTTTTGTGAGCTGTTACAAAAGAAGAAGAAACTACTTTAATGTCCGCTTGTTCTTCAGATAAACCCACAGCACGCTATACCCACCATCGTGGACGACGGCTTCATTCTGTGGGAGTCTCACGCGGTCTCCAAATACTTAATTGACAAGTATTGTAAAGGCAACTCTCTTTACCCTGAAGACGTTAAAGCGCGTGCGATCGTCAACATGAGACTGGACTTTGACCTGGGGACTCTTTACCCCAGACTCAATGAGTTTTTAGTAAGTGTGTCATGGAAATATTTCTTTTGTAAATAGTCTATGTTAAGCTGGATAGTAAATATAAGTTCGAAATGGCCATAAGTTTAACTTAAAATCAGTTGTACAGTGACTTAGGGATATGCTTAATTTTTTTTTAAATATGCGCCTTTGTGACAAAATAAGTCGCATCTAGGTCGGAAGTGCTTCATAGCCTGTAATGACATAGCTCTCTTTAAGCCTCAGGCCGATACAGCAGTGCACGGACTGTTGCTTGGCGGCAAAAATAAAAAGATTGTGATATGTACCAAAGGGATGTATTTTGTAAGTTTTACGACTACCACAGGATAAGTGGCGAGATGGATTACTACACCATCACCACCTAGCGACATACGGGAACCGTAACGGGAAAAATGCAGTTAATTACTTTTCCCCTGCGGTTTCGTCAAACTTTCAACAGAAGTAATGTTTGTTCTAGTCTGCGCACTTCTTAGAAGGGAAACCGCTGGAAGAGTCGGGTGTGAAAAAGATACAGGAGGCGCTCGGTTTCATAGACACGTTCCTAGCGGACACCAAGTACGTAGCTGGCTCGGAGCTGACGTTAGCTGATTACGGTCTGGGGCTTACTACGTCATGCATAGAAGCCGCCAACATCAGCTTGAAGGAATATCCCAATGTTGTCAGGTGAGATAACATACAACTTAAAATGGATTTGTATATTAAGTATAAAAACCTGTCAGTTTCGTAAGAGTGCTTTTGGGTACCGATTCTATTTAAGTAATTCGTTTCAGAGGATAAATGAAAAAAATTACTTCGCAAATTAAAAAATAACTTACATAATAATAAGAATGATTCGAGTGTTTTAGTATTCAGTAATACTTAATATGATTTTTTTATGCCATCACAGTGTGGACATTATGTTTTTACATATGGTATAATGCGTATGTCAGACGTCACCTATCCTCAAGATGTTGTTTAATTGCAAAAGAGATTTAAATTTAATTCCTCACACATATGGGCTTTTCCTCAAAACATTTGTCTTAACCACCAACAGTGAGATTATTTAAAATTGTACTTCATTCAGTGATTAACAATTTCGGAGAATGAACTTTGCTCATACGGGAACGTGGGCGCTTCAGGTATAATAACCAAATGGCTTTACTCTGAGTAGTAATTGGTATTCTCATTACTACTTTAGGCATTTTTGTACTTCTCATCAGCCAGTAAACGTTTGATGGACATGGGGCTTTAAGGTTCAAATGTCTCTATTTATAATAAGATACGTTTTAGATTAGTTTTGCGTTAAATCGTCACACTCTTATCTGAGTATCTTTGAATTGCTGCCCCTCATTGGCCTGAGTTCATTACGGCTCGAATGAACGATATGGTATACCGCCGTTATATCGGAAGCCATGAGATTTTACTTGTATTTTATATAGTCGCGATACCGAACAGCGGCGGTGTAAGAATATCCACGAGCCCATAGCACACCGAGGTGTCGTAAGAGGTAACTGTGGAAACAAATCAGGAGATGTACACCAGCGCTAATAATGACTAAAGTAAAAAAGTGCGGTTGCCCACCCGCCTGCAAAGCGTTGCAACTATGGCAAATATTGCCCTTATGAGGCAATCTGTGGGGTAGGCGTATGTCCAACAGTGGACTTCAATAGACTGTAATAGTAACGAGCACGAAATGGCATGCTAAATAAATACACACATTTTACAGATGGCTTGCCCTCTTTAAATCAACAGCACCCCAGTACGAAGCTATAAATGGAAAGCATCTGAAAGCTTTGTTTGATGGTCTGAAGAAGAAATGAAATGTATCATTTGATAATAAATATACTGAATGTTGTAATTAAGAAAAATTAATTAAATAAAGGACAAGTAACAATAAATGATTTTTAATGATTTTTTATTTTATTGACCAGCGACCCGCCCCGGCTTCACCTGAGTAGGTTCTATAATATGGCGTTACTTAGATTAAAGATAAGTATCAAAGATCATTTATTTTATCAATTTTTCAATGCTTCAATAAAAATATTTCCAAGTTTTTTGGATAAATTATAACCTCATGGCTGGCGTTGTTCTCCTTTAGTTTGTCAAGTTTTGATTATTATCGGCTCAGGGTGAATCTTGAGAGGCTCAATTTACGTCGTCAGGAGAGAAAGTACCCGTAGTATAAAAATTAAAAACCAAAATATTTTTCTAATGCTACTATAATGATGATCGAACCGACTGACTCGTGTGATCTAACTGAGACACGATAGTTTTTGTGTCTAATTTGGTACGAAATACTCGCAAAAAAAGTTCGAACGGTCAAAAACAACTTACCAACATTAAACTTATTTGTGAACGGAAATGAAATACACAATGCAGTCTAATCGCTACCAGGTTTGTTGTTGATATATTAAAAAAATATGCCGTATGTGTATTATTTCGGTTTTATTAAGAATTATAATATAAAGTTTGTCCGAGACCAAACCCTATCCCCTATTCCCGTGGCGCGTCCCTAAACTACGTACATCCCTAGTGATATGTTCTAGAGGAGTGCCTCCGCGTCGTCGCATGAGCGCTGTCTAGTGTGACCAAATGCGGCAGGTTCCTGACATTTTGGCGGGATTGGCCACTTATTTTAGCCTTTGGCATGATCGGTTGACGTTTTTTAAAACCTAGTAGTATTGGGCTATTAAAAATAGGTTTCACTATGGCAACTCAAAATGCCCAAAATGGCAACTCTAGATACTTCACTAGCATGTGGGGGTTTTACCTGTATTTTTCGTATTATGTTTGTATCACATACAATAAACAACTTTAAAAGCTTGTATGTAAAGTTGATAATCTTAAAACAAGTAAGTATTCATATACACGAGTTTTTGGTTAATATTTCAATCAGTCATAGAAGAGACACTTAAAATATATATGTATTGCAAATTTCGCAAAGGGACTGCTATGCTAACCAATGTCAACGCTACATGCGACAGAATATTCTCTTAAAATTAAGATAAAACCACTAAACAGATTTATAAACATAATGTAGCGTCAATCTTGCATGTTAAACAAGGCAATGGTGATTGCATTGCATTCAAAGCAACTAAAGATATGTTAAATCGAATTAATAAATCCATGTATAAAGACGAACGAAATGAAGAATATGAGGCTAATTGCAATGTTTAATTTTAATTTAATAAAAATATATCATTTTAAATGTGCATTTTTTATAATACAATGGTAAAAAAAGTTTTCACTACAGACTGGCAGTTCTTGGCAGGTTTTTAACCAAAGTAAGGCGGGATCTGTATTCTAAAGATGGTCAAACTGCGCTGTCTGTTAGCCCAGGATGAAATTACGAAGATAAATATTTGATTCCCCAGGTTCTGTTTCGCTAGGTTGTTGATTACCCTGGCCACGTTTATAAATGTAATTTGAGGATTTGTTGTCGGGTGTTAATGGAACAGCAACTATTTATTTCATTGTTATTATTTAAAAAGTATTGTTTCAATCAGAATCGATAAAGAAATCCTACTTTTTGATTCCACTGACATTGATTCCCTTGATATGCCAGGGTTATCAAAATTCGTGATGAAAAATGCAAATTTTTCTAATTTTCTGGGTGAAAGTTTTCGTATTATTTCTTACACATGTATTTATTTTTTACCCGTCTTATCGATTAAAATTATTCATTATTATTAGTAATAATAATAATAATCTTTATTTGCAAGAATATGGTTGTACAATGGTGTTCGAGTATAATTCGTTCTACATATTCTACCTCAGTGGTGTGCAAACAAAAGTAAAGTTACATCCTATATACGTCCCACTGCCCAGCAGTCAGGTCTCCCCTCTTTTCTGTGAGGGTTTTAGGGCAAGGAAGTGTCCGCCACGCTGCCCCAATGCGTGTTTGCGAACTTCACATGTTGTCTTCGAAATATTTTTTTTCTTATTCCTCAGACATGCAGGTTTTCTCACGATGTTTTCCTTCACCGCCGAGCACGTGGTAAATCGGCACTTAAAATTGCTATTAACAATTTCATTGGTGCCGGCGGGGATCGAACCCGTTACTCGCGTTCTATTTACAGCGTTAACCATCTGAGCGATCACGGCTCTCTGTGCAAATATTAATGGTCAAATAACTTATACAACAATACTTATCGAATTTTTAACGACACAAAATGTTTTAACATTACTCAGTCGATTTGATAATTAATTAATTAAGTGTCAGAAAAAAGAAATACCGATAAGATGTAGATAAGTATTATTATTACTCAATGGCAAATAATCATATTCTTATGTCAATAATTATATAAAGTCAATCATTTATATCTAATTTACTAATTAAAGAAATAAAATTTTTTATTTGTGTATGTGTATGTGTGTGTGTGTGCGTGCGTGTGCGTTCGTGTGTGCGTGCGTGTGCTCGTGTGTGTGTGTGTGTGTGCGTACGTGCGTGCGTCTGTGTGTGTGTGTGTTCACACGCGAACGGCTCGATCAATTTGAACGAACTTGGTGGCGTTTAAAAGGGTTTCATCAAATTTAGATTTTCGAAATTACTCCTCGTATCGGGTTTAATGTAATGAGTTAACTATTAGTTCATAAAAATATTTGTTGAGCGTTTTGAGATCGAACAGCGGGAAGTTCCAGGGATCGCCTGCAGTTTTTCCGAGTTTCCGATTTTTCTCAATGTGTCGTAAAGTTCACGCGTGCGCGTACATCCACTGCTGAATATAGGTAGGTATCTCTTACGTTGTACGTAGGATTCGTCTTTATCATCATTCGTCATGCTTTGCAGGTGGATTGACCAGACGTCTTGCAGTCTTTACATCACTTTCCAGACCCTTTCCTTTGCTCGAATATCTTTTATAGATTAAGGGTGGCAAACAAGCACACAACTGATGGTAAGTTGGTATGTATGTATTAGTTGTTATGGCCTATAGATATTATAGTCTTCATTTATCCTCGGTTAAGAAATAAAACGCAGATGCGTTGTCACCCCTGATGACTAACATGGAAGCGTGGGTCTACCAAGTAAAAATTAGGTTTCCGTAGATCAGAGAAGAAATGGCGAGAGGAAATATTAACAAACTTATTGGCAAACGGCACCTGAAGCATTAAAAAAAGGGACGTTATTATAGTCTCATCACTATAGTACTCGCTGACACTTGGCAATTAGGTACTTAAATTAAATTGAATCACTACTGTACAAGGTCGCGAGAGTCAAGTACAGGAAGTAGGGTTGCCTAATGTAGCACTGGAGTTAAAGTGAAACCAATTACTTCAGGCAGCCCCGACGTAAGTGCGCATGCATGGTTCAAGGAATTGTAATTCTAAAGAAATAAGTTTTCCGTAATGATCATCCCTATAAATGGGGAAAACCGTATAAAAACCTTATATTGAACAAGAATGATTTAAAATTTTGTTCTCTGCATAAACGTTTTTATTATGATTCCGTTCGAAAATAAACGAAACAAATAAGTTTTTAGGTAGTTATTTAAGTCGAATCCGTTTCGAAAAATATACCGTTATCCGAGCCACGGGAAAGGTCCACACACAGAATGGAGAAAAATCAGTGTAATTCAAACAAGAAATAGTTTTTTTTAAACAGTTGTGTACATTCCGTAAATACACAACAAAATGCAATCACAAGCTAGTTCTACTAGTAACTCGACTCCAAAGAGCTTGTACCTATACGCTTTTACAACAAAATCCCAGATAATATGCAGGACTTATCTATCAGAGTTTAAAATTTTGATGAAAATCGGTACTTTAATAATGTTTTATTTTACAGGAGAGGTGTGATTTAGTAAATTATAATTATATTCCTTGCAAGATTTTCTAAATTATTTCTAATGAGCTTGAGAAATATAAATTTTTTTCTAATGTCGAACAAAGCTTTGTTGCCCAGGTTTGTCTTATTTTAGAAAGCTTAAAGGCTTTTATTGTACTTTGGATTTAATAGAAGGAAATTTTGCTTACTAAGTATTTTAACCTAGTTTTGTAATCTCTTTTTCCTGTCATTCACAGAAAATGAAAATAAGAAGTCAGAACTATGATTTTTTAGTAAAGATGTAGGGTCCATCTTGTTAAAAGTTATACAAGAACATATATAGATATTATATATTACTATATACCTATTGTTAGAGATAGTAGAGCTGGAAAGCCCAACATTAGCCCACTAAGATCAATTCCTGATAAGTCGAAAGTTGCCAGTCGTCGAAATAGGTACCTACTTGCCTTGATCGAAAGGTTCTTGATCAAATCATTGACGGTGTTATCAGATAACTGCGAGTGTTAATATTATGCGATAATGATAAAAGTAATTTTGATTATTATCCACCTCCAAATACCTAGAACGAAATATATTATTAAATATTTAAGTATCAATGTTTGTCGATTTGTACATGCCGTAAACTATCCCAATGTTTTCAAGCTTCCCTCGCGTGTGCAGCCTTAATGGTTAAAGCTACACAGAAATCATGTATAACGGAAATGTTCTCCTTAAAATTATATAAAAAATATCCCACGATAGCATATGTCTATCTTTTATGGTTGACTCACAATAACACGTGTAACTCCCGATAGCTTAGCAGTTCGGAGCTCTCTGATTATATTTGTCTACTCTTACGTTTATAACACTCTCACTCATCCCTAATTAAAAAAAGTTAACATTATTATCTATTCAATAAAAAAGAATCGTAGAAATCGGTATAGAAATACCAAAGTTATACATGAAATACGCTAATAAGCCATCGCGCGTGAATACTGAATCATGCTATAAGGATTATTTTTGGTAACGGTCGCAGCGCTCGACGCGGCTCACGGCGGGAGGTATAAAAAGGCGGGGGTCTGAGTGCGAGCTTGCGCCCTCCTTTCTGCCAAGGAGGGTCGCGTTCGTATAAGGCTTAGAGATCTCTAGTTAGACCGTTAAGCCAGTCCCTAAAAGGCGGTGTTTAGTGGGTAAAAGTCTCCGCATAACCACGCAGCCGGCTGCGTGGTATGCTATGAGCATTCACCGCCTCCTTCCCCCACTTTCCGGAGGGGTGCCCATATTGCTTTGGGCGCAAAAAAAAGTGCGAGCTTCATACAATATTTGGCTGTTGATGCGAATAGACCATATACAGTAATCTACGGAATAGACGTTCAGAGTGTTCGACCTGATCGACAGACAATAATTGATTTTAACAAACCGTGCTTATCAGCGCGACTTTTAGTCTACTCTTACGTTTAGTAATTTATTTTTAGATTTCTTTGGTTGTTATTTTATAAAATAGGTATTAGTTATTTCGGTAGTGTTTAAATATTTCTTAGTATTAGCTTAATTATAAATAAAACTTTTTTTATTTTTTATTTAGCTGTAGTTTTAAATAGGTACCTAGGTATCAAATAGGTTATCTCATTCTATTAGACGTAGTTTAGGTACCTACTTATATATTTTTAAGAATTATATTTGGATTTAAGGATTTATTTAGGATCCGTTTTATTATTTAAGTAGGCATTTAGATTATTTTAAGTGTATGGTAGCTATAGTTGGACCTCTAACGTAGATTATTTTGTTAGGTAACTGAATGCCGTCGATTAAAAATAAAATACACAATGCCACCTAATAAACGATTATCTTTATCTCGAAATTCGAGAGAAGCTAAGAGAATGAGAAATGTGCGTTCTCAAGAATCGGCAGAGGAAAGAGCACATCGGTTAAACTCTATGAGAGTTAGTGCCTCAACTTCTCGAGCCAATGAAAGCTCTCCAGAAAGAGAGATGCGATTAGCAGCTGACAGAGCGAGACGAGCTACATCACGGGCGTCTCAAAGTTCTCAACGAGAGCTAAGGCTTACCATTGACCGAGAACAACATGTGTTATCCCGAGAGGCTGAAACTCTTTCAGACTTTTCGTGTTGCTGGAGTAGATCTCGGTGTCAGTTGTTTCTCGCATGGTCAGTTGTACGTCGCTCTTTCCCGGGTTAGCAGTTCTAGAAATCTTTATGTTCACGTGCTGGATGGGTCAACTTTCAACATAGTTTACCCGGAAGCTTTGCGCTGAATTATTTTTGTTCTATAAGTACTTAAGCCTAATGTGAACGTGATCTAAACAATATTACCAATATATTATTAACTTAATGACACACAAGGAGTAACACTCCATCCAAAGCCCAGCGACACTATAACATATACAGGAATGACGTCTTAGCAAAAGTTGTTTAGTCTGATGGGCATTTCCTGTTGACTTACAAAAATGAAAGATCTAGAACGTCTCGAATACCGTCTCGCGAATCATGTTGTTTTCCCGTCCCCGGGCTCTAAGAATTCAACATCACTTTCAGATCTTCGATTTTGACTACCCCGTTGTCGCTGGCATAAGCAACAGGATCCGCGTGCGAAGTCGCGGGCAGAAGCTAGTAACAGCTAAAATAATAAACTGCGGTTGGTAAATATCCCCCTGTGGCCTATGAGGCAATGTGTGGGGGTGTGAGGTCTATGTTCAGCCGTGGACTTTTGATATCCTGTACCGGAAATGTAACGATTATTGATACATTTCCGTAACAATGTATTTTTGATAGGATTTAATCGATTCTTATCTTATGACTCGTAGACGCACGAAATAAATAAATGTATGTATATTAAAACTTCATTGCCTAAAGACTTTGATTATATTCCTGCCCCTAATGTCTACAGGGACATGGCTAAGGAAGCAAGTTGTGATTAGCGGCGGACTGGAACACCCGGGCATAAGGGCAACCTGTTCCGCAACAATCAAGTATATATTGAGATTAAGAACCATTTGAGAACGTTTGCGTGTATGTCAATATTTTTAAGAGGAAACTAATTTTTTTGTTTTCATGAAACTTGTATTGCTACTTTCGTACGTATAACGTATGTTAGGTAATAGTAATAGCAATAAGTGGGAATATTATGTATATCGGAAAGTTATATGTTTTAATAGGTACAAGCATATATTTACTATTATTTGAGATATGTATTTGGTAATTTATATATAGATATTAAGATTGATATTGTCGTCGCTATGGTTCCATAAGAGAAACCCATGTAATCTTTATTTTGTGGCTTGATATTTAGTTTGTAGTAGTAGTCGTTTGTATGTCGTCTACAATGGAGGGTACGGTATGCTGCGGATTCATCTTAAAGGCAAGCAGACATTAAAACTGGTTTCTTCTTTTTAATGCATAACATGTTTCCACTTGCTTTCCTGCAATCTGTGGGAGTGATTTCGTGAAGAGGGACGGAAGTGTGTAACAGGAAGCCGGGGAAGCGCGCGCTATTTCATTTGACGAATGAGCGCGCGCGGTGGCAGTAAAGCGTGCTGTCATATGGATTAATTTATTTGTGTAAACTATATTAATAAATGTAACTATTGATAATACCTAAACGTGAAAAAAGTGCCGACCATTAATTAAAAATGCAACTAAGTTATAATGAATAATTATTTGAATAAATATTTCAGCTTTTACAACACAATCCTAGAAAATATGCAGGACTTATCTATAGGAGTTTAAAATTTTAACTAAGCAAAAATTGAGAAAATTCTTTTAGTAAGCGAGAGATACCTATGGCTATTGAATTGAATTCGCAACGTACATATTTAGATTTTTATATAGAAGATAAGGGTGTCGAACGAGCACGCAGTCCACGTGATGATAATTGGATTCTGCGACCTATACATGGAATGCCTCATTTCCAGTAAAAATGGTGACCGGTTCTCCACACTCTTACGTGGTAGAGCCACATTACAGTTATTATGGTTGAAGCATGAATAGGTCGGCTCGACCGGGGAGGGACCGCGCTCTCACAGAATACCAGCGAAGAGTGGCGGCTTAATGCTGCTTTGTTTCATATGGTGAATGTAGAGAACCAGATACCTGTTTTACTCGAACCGAGGCATTCAGTCTTAGTCCTCACGGGTGACAACGCATCTGCATTTTGATTCGTAATCGAGGATAGATAGAAAGATGTCTATGGGCCACAGCAACCACTTAGATACCATCAGGTGGACTGTGTGCTCGTTTGTCACCCTATCCTATTAAAAACATTAAAAATGGTTTCCTGTTCTCTACAGTTACCACACGAACTCATATTTTATGCTAGTATTCTGTCAAAGTGGTTCTTCATTGACTATTGTAAGTGTGTAAGGATGTGGTATATATACATATATATATATATATATATATATATATATATATATATATATATATATATATATGCGTGAAATAGGCATGGAGCGCTGTGAACGATGAGGGAATATAAAAATAACAAACGCCAAACATTATTATTTTTAAGTTATTATAGTTTATTTCTTAAAATTACATATCACTAATTAATTACGACAGTAATACTAACAAACAATATCAATCTCTTAATGCTATAGCGTGAACAATATTTTTTGCTAGCCCAATATGGCCGTGGAAGGAAAAGGGGAGATCTTCCGCCGGGCAAGATGTTATGCCCGGGGAGCGACTAACGCCCCGTGTCATAGTTCGGAGATGTTCTATATATACTTTTTATGATCCGGAATGTTGATAGCGTTATTTTAGGCTTCGGTGTGTTTTGCTTGTGGCGCGACGACAGCGCCGCCATATCACCTCACACCGGACCTACATGCTCAGACCGGAGGTCGACAGTGCAGTCCGATTGCCGGTGTGTCCTTAATGCCGGTGGAGAATGCATGCTGTGTGCGTAAGGGCAAGTGACACCGGTGCGAATGATATGCCGATGTGTAATGCATGCCGTACTACGCACTGGCAACTGATGCCGGTGAGAACGATGTGCCGGAGCAAGTACCAGAAGTCTGCCTTATAAATCTGCGTTGAGTCGAGACGAAGACAAGTTGGACTGGCTTGCAGGAACTGAAGACTGCAGAAGACGATTCTCAATAGTGAATGATAGGAGTTCTTGAGGATAATACCGAAGGCTTGACGTTGTAGTTTTCGAAGGTTGTTGGTTGCGGGTTCAAATCACGTCCGGGTCACCACTGTGGCCGTGGAAGGAAAAGGGGAGATCTTCCGCCGGGCAAGGTGTTATGCCCGGGGAGCGGCCAACGCTCCGTGTCATAGTTCGGAGATGTTCTATATATACTGTTTATGATTCGGAATGTTGATGCTTGTGGCGCGACAACAGCGCCGCCATACCATCTTTAGCAAACACAAACAAACTGGATGGTATACCCACTCGAGAGCATGCCACGTATAATTGTCCGTGTGAAAAACATGGTGTGCTCAAATCTAACCCACAAATAGACAACGTTTGGCCTTGGGATTTGTTGATAGTCATTGCAAATGCCAATCTAATCGGAAACTGAATACGTTTGAATTGAATTGGCACATCTATAGGTATAATAGGAATCCGTGGTATTTAATATATTTTCACCTCGGAACTTGCCATTTAAAATGCTGGCTTCGATAACGTTTTTCATTAATTTTTGAATGACTAATCGCGTACCGTTGCACAGCCGTGGAGGGTTCAAATTACGAATTAAGATAATTGGAGATCCAGCCTTCAATTGTAAGTTATGCAGTGGCATGCCTGGCAAATCCAGTGAATTCAAAAACTGACTGTGGGAAAATTTACTGCTTCGCTGGCATCGCAAACTGTATCAACAGATTTGTATGATACCAAGTTCCTTGGCAACAACTGTTGTATTTTCAGATTTAAATTGTCAACGTCTACATTTTTTGCCGCTAAAATTGCTCTTTCTGCAAGCCACTCATGATTTATGTACTGTGTGTGTACATCGGGAAATATTTGTTCAATGAGAGTATCTTGCGAATCAGCGATTGTGCAGAAAACGGTCGGTAATTTTACGTATCCAGTTTCATCTATAGCAACTTTTCCATCACCGATATCTAAGAGTTGTTTTGGGAATGTTTCAGCGGATGGATCTCAAAGCATTTGAACGCGCATATTTACTTTCAGCTGTACTTTTTCAACATTACGCCACAATGGAGATGATTTTAAGCAAGCGTTGATCTCATCAGCGTATGTTGAACGTGGAATGACGGGAAGTGTTTGTCTGAAATCACCTGAAAGGACCAACAGAGTGCCGCCAAATAGTTTGTCGTTGATTTTAATATCTTTCAATACCCTGTTCAACGCCTCAACTGAATGTTTGTATGCCATAGTACATTCATCCCAGATGATAATGATACACTGTTTCAGCACGGTGGCCATGGACGATTGTTTTTTAATGTTACACACTGCGTCAGGGTTATTTCGAATATTTAGTGGCAGCTTAAATACTGAATGAGCTGTTCTGCCTCCATCCAATAAAGTTGCCGCAATGCCCGATGATGCAACGGCCAATGCGATGCCATTATTTGATCGTATTTCAGCAAGAATTAGCGAAATAAGGAATGTTTTGCCAGTTCCACCCGGTGCATCCAAAAAGAAGAACCCACCCTGTCCTGCTGAAACTGCGAGCAAAATGCGGTCATAAATGGTTCTTTGTTCCTCATTCATTAATGGGACATTGCGAATAACAATCGCTGCCATTTCCACAGTGTTGTACTGCAGTTCACGATTCATTTCAGTGTTAATTAAATCAGATGCATTTCGATTTGGCGAATTTATAACGTAATGACTGAGTGATACGTTGGCAATGACAATGCAAAGATCCTCAATAGCAATCAATGCTTCATTGTACATAGCGTCGCTGAATGTTATCGTTAGATCGTTGCACCGTGTACGATGTTGATGCATTATATCATCAGTCACTGAATCTTTGTGATTATCCCACAATATCTGTGCTCGGCGGGACTGTACTATAGAGAATAGAATTTGTATTGCTGTACAGTTCAATGAAGCTTCAGCAAGTATACATTCCCACTGGTTGTCGTCTTCCAGCAAGCCGAGTGCAAGGCATGCATCTTTATACGTGGATACTGTTGCCCATTCACTTTACGTATATCTTGGAATGATAATGCGCCAGTAACATTAACCAACAGCAGTCGAAGATA